AAACACCGACAGTCTGTCTTTATCCTGTTTTCTTATTGGTCAAGTTTCTGCACCGTATAGCAAGACTGGCTGAACTGTCGCAGCATACACTCGACCCTTCACAGACAGCCGGATGTCGCGACGGCGCCACAGATGTCTCAAGTTGGCAAATGCCAACCGAGTCTTCTGTATGCGAGCTGACACTTCATCCGTGATGCGTTCACCGGGTGAGATGAAGCCGCCCAAATAACAAAACTTATCCACCTGCTCTATTACTTCCCCAGTCAGAGTGAGGCTGGCTGCAGGACCGACCCAGTCTTTTATTTGCGAACAGTACGCAAAGGTATGCGGTCGGAAGTTTCTTTGAACGGTCGAAAATGACCAAGATCTCTTAGAGCGAATTGCTGTGCCCGAAGATTACTATGCCCTGCTCCGTTCATTGCTCTATGCGCTGTTGGGAATTGCGATAACATGTTCCCAATGAGATTCTTGTTATCTGTACGTCAAATTATTCATACCGTAACTATGGTTCGCAAAAGATAACTCTCCTCAACGATCTTCTGGAATTATCACACTAGTATACTAAACCACCTAAGTGCGCCGGGTCTGTCCTCGAGGAATTTTTTCGTACATCATAAAGCCCACTCACTGGGTCAGCGTGGTGTAGGGATCGTACTAAACGATATAACCTAATACTCACTGATAGATTGGCTACCCGTCAATAGTAGTTTGTGCCTAATGAGGCTCCAGGGTTCAGTGTTCATCCAATAGTTCTGTTACGCTTCACTCTTCGACTCATCGGAAGAAGTCGCCTGACTTAGCCCATCATCGTCTGCGCGATCTGTCTGCCTGCGCACGTTATGAGGAGAAGCTGGGACAGAAGCTTGGAGAACCACGACGTGGTGGAGTAGACCCACAATGGGATCAAATTAGATTTGCGATGCACTCAGCAGCAAACTTTGCTTGTGGGACCGAGCCCGAAGTTCGCCGAAGATATTGAATCTCTCAGAAGTCAGCAATCGTGATGGATCAAAAGCGTAATATTCCACTCTGCCAGGATCAAAATAGGGATTGGTGGTACCTGCAAGCTCAACCCTCATTTAACTAAACCCGGTAGGCCTCTTTCTCCAGAACGGTTCAACCACACCTGTTATCGCGCTGTTCGTTAAAAGAAATCAGCGTTCCGCCGCTGGCGTCGGTCACCTTCCCCCAGCTCCCGCCGATGATTCTTGTTAGCACGTAAAAAAATGTACAACCGTCATACAGAAGGCTAAGGAGCACGTTGTTGAGCGCAAAGCAGCACAACTGGCGACCGCTCCTTCCGGAAGCCGGACGTTCTGGTCACTCGCTAAGGCACTNTGTAACTTCTGTTCTACTAACTTCCCACCCATCTGTAAATCATCCGGTGACTTGGCATACGACCCGTTGGAAAAAACAAGTGTTTTCTTCTCATTTTGCTTCCAATTCTACTCTTTTCGAATCACCCATCCAACCCTGCACACACCCTACGGCAAACCATCTTTTCACACCGCTCATTTCCACCAGGAAAATACGTCAGATCCTTCACACAAGCCACCTGAACCCGACGGGATTCCTCCCATTGTCCTCAAAATGTGCGCCCCGGAACTGGCTCCCCTCGTACGTCGCTTATTCTGTCTATCTCTCAATTCTGAGATATTCACAACCCCATGGAAAATATAAGAATATTCCCCATCCCCAAACGCGGCGATCACTCTGACCCAAACAACTACCACCCCATCTCTCACATCAGTCATTTCGAAGGTTATAGAATCAGTTGTTGCTGATCAACTCCGCCACCACCTGGANTCGATCTACCGATGATCCTCTGGCGCTCATTTCGCATACATGGTAGCGGCACTCGACAACCACGGGAAATCCTATGCGATGTCATTGGATATATCAAATGCTTTCGATCCTGTCTGGCACGCCGGTTTGCTGGCTAAACTACCCAAGTTTGGCTTTCCTTCGGAACTTGTATCCTGGACAGCAAGCTGCCTCAAGGACCGCAGGATCTCCTTTAGAGTAGACGGGATCATTCTTGTTCCATTTCTGTGAATGCTGATGTTCCCCAAGGTTCTGTACTTTCCCCTTCCCTTTTTCTGATTTTTATTGATGACCTTTCTTCTGCTTCAAATCCTATTAACGCCTTTGCCGATGACGCTACTCTGCACTCTTCTCTGTTATATTCCTCTTTGCGCATCGCTAACTCCAGCATTAGTAACGACCGCTCCTCCCTTAGTTTCTCCCTAAATTCTAATCTGGGCCTTATCTCATGTTCTGTTCAATGCCAGTAAAATCAAACAAGCTGGTTCTAGCTTGAATGTTCCCCATATCTCCCTACTTACAGTATATCCTCGGATTATAGGGTTTACCCCTTTTACTGTATTCACTTTAGTGTAATAAAAAAGAAGAGCCTTAAGAAACACCTTGAAAACTTGTGGGACAAAATAGCTAGTGAAATGGAGGTAGCTTTTGCATCGGGGAAGTCAAAGACTGTTTCGTCTAATATGCAGCACTGGAGGTCGTCGCATACCGTTCAGTGAGACTATTTCCGATAAAAATGGACAGAGTATCCACAATAACGAAGAGGGACTTGATTACTGGGTGGAGTATTTTAGTGAACAGTTCAATTGGCCTAGTGCTAATGCGCTCATTCCGGAAATTACATAGGAAATTCTATGGGTGGTAACATGTGAGCCCCTATCGGAATCGGAAGTACGAAGATTTATTTAATCATTAAAGAAAGGGAAGGCTGCTGGGCCTGATGGGCTTCTCCATATTTTTCAGGTGGGTATTGATTCTCTTGTCAACTCAATTACTAGCTTACTTCGTAACATCTGGTCGGAGGAGCGTATCCCTTTGTACTGGGGTGGATCGTTGATCGTTCCGATTTTCAAGAAGGGATCACGCAATGATTACGCAAACCACCGCGGGATTAGTTTATTTCTTGTCATCACAAAAGTGTTGACTTCAGTGGTACTTCACATCCTACCATCCATGAGGGAGATGAATATCCGCGGACAGGGGGCAGGATTCCGACCTGGTCGCGATTGCGTCTACCAAATCTTCACTTTGCGTCAAGTCCTCGAATTGCGCCACACACATCGTCGGCTAACAATCGCAGTGTTCCTTGACCTAAAAGGAGCCTTCGATTCAGTTGACTGTGAAGCTCTAATGGGCTCGCTTCTTCGAAAAGGAATGCTCCAGAAATACGTTAGTTTACTGAGGTCACTGCACTCACCTCTGATCTGAGTGGGAGTTTACAACGAACTGAGTCGGTCGTTCTCCACCAGCAGCGGCGTTCGTCAAACATGCCCTATTTTGGCATTCCTGTTCGATTTCGTCGTGGACGAAACACAAGAGAATGCACCAAGTGGTCCAAAACGCAGTTATTGAATGGCAGCCAGTCGACAGCAATGGCGTTCTTGTCATTTCTTATCAGACCAGAATGCTTGAAACGGTACTTAGGCGGAGTTCGATCATATACTCTGTGTGCTGACTATAGTGGTTCACTTTTTTTCCCTCTCTCAAAACAGGTCAAATCGCTGTCCACCATAAATATTACCACTAACCTTGTATGCATTGGGAGTTTGGCAGCGATCAGTGAAGTTCGCTTCACTGTATTCCGCTGTCCGATGATGACGATGACCGTGACTTTCGTATGACTGAATTTCCATCCTCGTTTTATATTATCTGTACAGGCTAGAAGATGAATCATTGGAGACCATTGTTCGCCTCTGAACGTGTGTTCTCAAACATTAACGAAACTGAGAAAGATCCCGCACCAACGGTTCCACTGCCTGATGGGATCTAGTGAATTAGGTTCAACATCGAACCGTTTGAGGCGCAATATAGGATCCATTGATGTACGTTGAACAAATTGTAGTAGCGATACAGAATAAACGAGAAACCAGAACAAAGAAGGCCTAAATGTTAGGCTTTATGCAACATACAGCGTACGTATGGAAGCCGAAAAAGGGTGAGGAAGTATGAGATAGAAAAGCGATTTATAAAGTTTTATATAAAAAATCTAATTTTTCGGAATCTACTACCCCAACTGTAGTGATAAATATGTCGAAGTTGCAAAACCATTGCCATCATATTTTCGAGGAACTGTGAGCGTTCGGTTTAACCTTGAATCTTTCAGGTCGGCAAGAGTATTCCACTTTGAGATTAGTTGTATGTTGAATAAATTAGTGTGAACCGATTGCCAAAGCCGTCGAATAGAAAAAAGACAAAGGCCCAGTACCTAGGCTTTATTCACTATACACCTGGACGACAGCATCTGAAGGAACGAATACAAAGTAATATAATGTCAACAAACAAGCGTTTGGTATGACCGAGGTTCTGTCAACCACGGTTTCGTATTCTGTTCCAAGTGCTTCTTTACGCCCTTACACATTCTTCTGTTATACGAAGCTCAAATCTGCCCTAAGCTCAAATACTGCAGTATCGTATGGGGTGGAGCTTCGTATTACTCTTCTCTACCGGGTCCAATGTAAGATCCACAATCAACGAACCTTCCTTCGCTTTCAATTTACAGTTGCTTTCCAATCGCCAGACAGGTGCTTCATTACCTCTCCCATCGTTACTATCATGGTTTCTGCTCTTCTGAACTCGCTTTGACTGTTCCCCTCCCCTTGCCATTTTCTCATTTTCAGGCGGGCAATCACTCTTAATAGGTTCCTGTCCCCAGATGCCTGACTTCCAGCCCCCGTTTTCCCCTAGAACTGCGAAATTGTGGAACACTGTTGCCATCCCTATATTTCTGAACTCTTATTATCATACTCTTTTTAAAAGCAGAAATAACAAACTGGTCCTCACCTGAATGTTCCTTCACATACCTTCCCCCTTACAGTATGTCTCCGACTAAGGGATTTACCCCTTTTACTGTAAACCACTTTGTGTAATAAAACCTTTGCGACCTTGTGGAGCACAGCATTCGCAGAGAAATGCTGGGTTAAGACCCTATTGATTTGGACGGAAATGGTTCGCTTGCTAAGGGAACAGTACAGTCACAATATGAGAGACGGACGGAATCCGAACGTGGGGTAATTTCACCAGCAGACCTTCGTTCCAAACGCGGTCGAAGGCCTTTAAAATGTTTAGCGGGACCAAATGAGTATTTTCGTGGTTATCGAGTGCAGTTGACCAGGCGTGCTATATGAAAACCTGTAGGTTCGAGGATAGTGTACCTTCGGGAGGTCGATCCGCTGATGCACGTGACAGAAACTGTATCCACAGCAATTCATGGAGGTCGTGCATTGCCTAAATATTTTCCGTGTAACTTCGATAATGCTTGTCCGGTTGCTCCCCACATACTTGCGCAGTGTGACGTAGTTCACATTTTGTTCGAACACCGATAGTCTGCGCTTATTCTCTCTACCCATATACCACTTGAGTGAGCATGTGGAGAGGCTAATAAATTAACCCGCTCTAACGAATTATCGACACCAAATTACTTCCACCTCCGGTTTTGCATTTGGCGTTATTTTGAAAGCCTCTGAGAATAAATGCCATGTATTTAGTGTTTCTAATACCTTAGTTCACCTTTTGATTGAAATAACTCCGTTATCTATTCTATTTTTTTGTAGAATTTTCTGGGTTTAGGTCAGCATGTCGATATTCGAATCGCTCTTGAAAACGAAGATAATCGAAAAAAGGAGGAACTTCGTATGGAAGACGGTCAAGTCTATCCACTCCCGATCTACTATGATGGTGAGACAGTATCCGGAAACGTGCTGATAGGAATGAAACGGGGCAAATCACTCGAGCATCAGGGTATTCGTATAGAATTTCTCGGTGTGATCGACTTCTACACGGATCGCGGTAATCGTGACGAGTTTATTGCGCTAAGCCAGGATCTGGCCAGACCTGGCATTCTGTCACAGCCCACAACCTATCCGTTTGAATTCAGTCACATTGAGAAGCCACATGAAAGTTATTGTGGCACGAATGTGCGGTTGAGGTGAGTTCCGATTGATTCATCAATCCGATTTTGTCAGATATCTTCTTCGAGTAACTGTCCAACGACGCATGACTGATCTGACTACCGAACGGGAGATTCTGGTCCATGCACCAGCAAGATATCTGGAACCAGATACTGGCATTCAGATGGAAGTTGGCATTGAAGACAGCTTACACATCGAGTTCGAGTACAACAAATCAAAGTTGGTTTACCAATGCACAGTAGTGCTCATATTCTGCCCCTCTAGATATCACTTACAAGATGTTATCGTGGGCAAAATCTATTTTCTCCTCGTTCGTGTAAAGATCAAGAATATGGAAATTCAGATTCTGAAACGAGAAACTCTCGGGTCCGGTAAGCTTTTCTCTATCCCTTTCTAATATGGTTCAATTTGCTTAGGCCCGAACTCATATAGTGATTCCGAAACGTTAGCCAAATATGAGATTATGGATGGTGCGCCGGTTCGGGGCGAATCCATTCCTATTCGTTTGTTTCTCCATGGTTACTCCTTAACTCCGACTATGCGTGACGTCAACCGCAAGTTCTCCGTGCGATTCTTTCTCAACCTTGTGTTGTTGGATGAAGAAGACCGCCGATACTATAAACAACAGGTCAGTCTCTCCATACTACTTTTGGCTTCTTACTTCATTTCTGTGGTATCATTATCTGCTAGCTCTTAGTATAACCGATTTTTCTGCCATAATTCGATCTAATTTTTGTTTCATATAGTAGCTCCTGTGTCAAGGAGGTCAACTTAAACGGGAATCGGTATTTAAATTATGACGTTAGCCTTCAACACTGAAAAGAATCCAAGACTCAAATTTGCCAGTGAAAGTGGTGTACTCGATTGCCCGTTGAACGCTTTGACTGGCCCCAATAGTTGAACCTCGTCGCGATCACCTCATTTTGGTGCCAGGTGGCTTCATTACCACTAGCTTCACATTATCCGAGCCATGCACAATTATTCAATTTCAGTTCCGGATCTTCATTCGCAACTTAACAACCGATAAATAAATTCATTCGTCTTGCTGATCTTCAATCAAGGATTACCCCCTGAAAATTTTCATGTAATTTTCTCCTAGTTTATCTGAAAATGTTCACATGGATATATTTTGGGATTCAGTGCAAAAAATGTATATAATTCTAGCTCTTCGTTTCGCATTGGGCAGGTATCTTAACGGTTATGTCTTCCTCTATCAGGAAATCGTACTTTATCGGAAACCAGATCGACGGCGCAAGCCACTGGGACCATCTGCATGTGTGCCAGATACGGTCTCGTCCGCTACTACTGGTCTTCAGCAAAAAGAGAACAACGAGCCAAACACAACCTCCGACGATCATTCTGAGTTAACTGAGGCAGGAGATAGGCCGTCCGAAGAGAACGATGTGTTTGCCGAACGTGTAAGTTACATTTGGATCAGATTCGCGCGGTTTTTTTGTTTTGAAACGACTTAGTTTATGGTTTTCTAAGCAGATATGTGCTTTATGAAACGAGTTGTCAATAGTGATTCCTATTGTCCTACCTATCTGTTTGTCACTGTATAAAAAGCGGCAGTCATTGATTGTCACTTCCTAAAGTCTCTCATACATCTTTGTTTCCAATTCCAATGAGGAATACACCATCCCTCTAGACTATTAATCATGCCATTTATAGGCAGGTCACAATCTCAGTGAAAGTATACGAACATTACATGATTTGGAGAACGGGAATGTAAGGCGAAGAAAAAGATGGTCACAAAGATACCGCCATTAACACCTGGTTTTCTGTCGTGTGAGGGTTCCAGCTGACCCCATTCGGACGATGTTGATCCAGTGTATAAATCACCGTTGCACTATTTCGGTGACCGCGTGCTCGATTGTCCCAATCGTTGCCTAACTAACTTACCCACTTATTTTCGTTTCATGGTAACAATTCCGTTGATCCCTTTTTCTTCATACGCTTGATTAATTGATTTCCCATTTCAGGAAAAATGTAGTAGAATGTTACTAAGCTTTTTCTCTGTTTACGATTTGTGCACCCCAATAAGCTAACCTCTACTCATTCGCTTCCCTGTCACTGATAGTGCTTAAGTGATAAGATGTAGTACGCATCACATGTTGGAGACCATCAGATTCGTCCATTTTATTGGTTTTCAAGAGATGAAATCCCGATTTAGCTGTTCAATATTCACAAATTCCGACCGTGGGGGAGACGGATATCACTGAATTTCCCAATGACGTTTTAAGCTTCAGAACAGATCCTGGCCGGATTCAAGCGGACACGGAGCTAGGTTCACTGACGAAGGTTCGAACTGTGATATGTGACCTTTTCTTCTTTGTGCACGCTGTCCTTTTTGCACTGTAGGCGTTTGAGAAAAGAGGCGCGAAAGCGGTCAGCCTGAACGCGTGGCCACCTTGACAGAAATGGAAGTAATCAGTGAGACAAGCAGATTGATTGATTGGGTTAATTGATACTAGAAAAATTGATTTTCGTGACCACCTGTTCCGATCTTATGATGCTCTGCTTGATGAATTTTGCACGGATGAAGGAAAGTTGGGAAAATCTAAAGTACACTGTGATCAGAAGAACAAATGGACGATCGGAGAGATGTACGGAAAAGACCAATAATTTACAAAAAAGAAGAGAAAACACTTCGGTGAGCATTGACTCGGTTAGAAAAGTTCGCACTGTTGCTTGGGAGCTCTACAATCGTCAGAAAATAGGCTCGAAATGGTTGTATTCTCTACGATTAAAGTAAAGATGCATCGAGATTTCGTATTCCAAAAATAATTAAACGAGCATCGTACGGAAATGCAAACATTACCAAAAGTAGTGAAACCGTAGTAACTAAAAATCTAGGAAGCATTGGACAGCTGTTTCGACCTGCTTGGGTCTCATCAACAGTGTGAATCGATCAACCCAAAGGGGAATCGAACCCGGGACGTCACAGGCAGACCGCAAGCTTACTACTCATTTGGTCACCGGGCAGTTGATCAAACTGTTTCTCATTTTGGATATAAACGGTATAGCACAACCCATCTTTGCAAGCTTGTTATGGCCAACGGACCTCGCCCATCTCAGCACTAGCCTCCAGGGTTATGAATCGGTTAGAAACTTTCACTACTTGATTACTTGTTATATGAGAGGAATGGAGGATTTAATTGGTTTTATGATGAATTCTTCGAAACAATTGTCAAGCGCTTCTTAGCTTTTCAGCTTACTCTTCATTTAGCCGATGAATTCATCATACCATCAACTGGAATTCTGCATTCCTCTCATGAAACAATAGTAGCTCATAAATGTTTTGCTCACACTGGTGTGTGGCGAGATACGTGAAAGCTGATTTGACGAGCCGTGGCAATAACGATCACTAACGCTACTCAGCATCCACCCTACACGTTTTCGGTACTAGTCGACCAAGGATTGGTGTAGTCAATAAGCACGTCATCCAAGTGTAGCTACGTCTCCTGAAGAAAACAGACTCCCGGTCTATTCAAATGCCCACATTTCGGGTAAATTCGGTAGATTTCCGATCAGTGAACGAACATTTCACCTAGACACAGCTAATAAGCATGTTTGATACTGTTTCTGCGCATGGCGACCACTCGTCCACTTTGAGGTTTCCATCGATACTTTCGAAACTTGGGAGTTTGCTTGCGTCTATTGGGTACGGTTTTTCCAAATTTGGATACTTTTATAGACAGAAATATACGTCGGAACAATTTCGATTCTTCGTGAAGAGCGCAATGTCCGTAGTGATACCAACAGGAAAAATGTGATGTGCACGAATATTCCTGACACGGCAGCAGAGCACACTGAAATCAGAAGGCCTCTCGAAACTTTATCCACAGATTATTTTTAAAGATGTATTAATCGGAACCTTTATGTTCAAATATTTTCTTCCAGACATCTGGAGTTGCGGAAACGGAACACAAAACCCCAGAGGAAACGTTTCTGGCAGCTACAGGTAAAGAAGCATCTGCCAAAGGCGTCGCTGTTCCGGATCGTCCAGCTATCACCCTATCTGACGTGGAGTTTGATGACAACGATCACGAACAGGACAGCGAGGGATCAGAATCCCCGGGGATATCGCGTACAGCTCGTAGCATGCATCGATACGAATCTAGACATGATCGATCTCTCACCAAACCGGATGGGTCACCCAACGCGGAAGACTCACAGAACAAGCGAACCAATGATGTGTTCATTGAAGAGCCACAAGAGACGGCAACTTCACCGCACTCAAGCGCATCGCCGAAACCAACTGAAACGAAGCCGAATCATTCCAATACACCGGTTGATGACAACGCGAATGAAATGTCGACGGTTGACGTGGCCTGATTTCACTACTGCCATCCCTCATTGGTAATCTGTATCACTCGAGCCGGAGAATGTCTATTCGATCGTTTAAACTTGACCTCTTCCTGTAAATACCGGAATGGTGACTCGTTTCTAGTCCAACTTTCACCTCATATTGTTCGAAACAATGGCCCATGGTGTTTTACCCGTGTACGATGCGAGGTAAATCGTCCGCTGATGAATGTCAATCATTGCTATCGTCACAACTGGGACCTGAAATCCGGAGCCTATTCGCATTCTTCCACCTGTCATCATCAGAACACTCAGTGTTCTCCCCCGTCCCACAAATCAATCGTGTCATTTACATTTGGGCGGTCATTTCCGTATGAATTGAGTTGATTCAGCTAGCAATCTCTCTCTCACACCCGGTTTTTGCTGAAGTTGTACTAACCTCGCCCTATTACAGTTGTTCACCAGGCGTTCGTATTCTGTAATTTGTTTTTCTTTCTCTTCTCTCCTTTCCTTTCTACGTTATTTGATCGCATAATCTGACCTACCGAGAATATCTCAACAGTGAATGCTGATTCTGTACGTGTTTGTCGTTTTTTCCTCTTTCGGATACTCTACTTATGAGTTGGCTGTTTTTGAGTAGCAGCAATACGACAGACCACGAAGAACCATCGAAATCAGTTTTATTGTCACTCACCGTCCGTATTTCACGGGGCTTTCCGGTTCTCCATCAAGTAGCGAAACACGTGGCAGATCAGAGTAAAAATGTCTGAAGGAATGTAGAGGACAGAATTACGGGAGCTGTGAGTTCACTCTAGAGCATCAAAGTCATGTGATCTTTATCACTGAAATGTTCACCACGGGATCGGGTTAACGGCGGGCAATCATGGGCTCTAACAAATTGTTTCTTGGTGCACTAAGTGAGTTGTGCAGTTGGATCGCGACGCCAATAGAGAACCTTTGACTAGGGCATGCGAATCGGTCATATTGGTCCGGTTAGGCTTCCTGGCGTTGGACCTCGGGATCAGCGTCACTCGGGCATCTCCCCAGTTTCTTCGCACCCTTACTGAACCGGAATGCTGTTTTCACCTTGACACTGATTTGAACATTTCGATCTTCTCTCTACTCTTTCATCCATATGGATAGCCAAAACCGCCACACAAGAATGGTTGAGTAAACTGAAACTCTGATCAATGATGACCATCCTCTGCTTGCATTCACTGGTCGGGATAACACAGTTTGATTGATCGAATGATTAGGCTCGACTACGTCGTCGCAGTTACAGTGGCTCCGTTTTTCGAACCAGTCCGTTTCGAAGCCGTTTGAGGTGATCGCCCGGGCTTGGAAGGGTTTGACCTATGTAGCTACTAACACTTAAGGGACAAACGAATTAGCGAATGTAAAGTGAGGTAGTGTCAACTGGTGTACCAACTTTTATACTCATTGGGAGCAGTGTTTAAAAAGGGAAAATTAAACGCAACTCACCAGCATGATCCATGATTTGGGGATCTATTTGTTGCCTGCACTTGAGCATCTCCAAATGGAATAGACATGCAGATTGCTTTCTCGGCACTGTGAGTATCTATTTGTATGTGTTTATTTATATTATGCGTTAGTTATAGAGATTTCTATCACTTTGATTGGTTCTTCAACTTCGTAGATGAGCTAATCGAATTCCTTTGGCAGATTTCAAGTAGTTTCTATGCCATCTGATTGTGAAAAATCAGGAGCCTCTGTGAGTTGAATTCACGCACAGCCTTCTCTGTATTGTGTATAACTTTTGCAAGCACTGGAGCTCATATTTCAGTTAAAAAATCATACACGCCAACCGTCATTAAGAAATTTGACGGAATTGGGAGCGTGTTGAATGATGAGAACGACGTGTCAGTTCTGCGTGCAATGGGTGGTCAGGATCTGTGAGAACCCTCTCTGCAAATTTCACACAGGAAGCTACGTGATACTCTGAAAGCTTAATAACTTACTCATTCACAGGAATAGAAGAGACAAGACTACTAATGGTTAGACCGCGACGTAAGACTTTCGAATCCTGTTTGAGTAAGGCAGGGAAAACAACTAGGGAACAGTAGAGTAAGATGGGAAAACACTGATGAACAAAGGTAGAAGTAACGGACTGGGATGCGCGAAACCGCCTGAGCTTTTGTATTTGAAATGATAGGCGCCTAAGTTTACCAATGTAGTTGTGGATGCGGGTTGAAACGTAGCAGCAAGGCCACATCTACTGCTCTGAAGTGTTTAGATCTCAGAGGCTTTTAGATGACAAAATTCCACCTCCGCGCAATTCATTCTAGTTCAGCTTGAGATCCACTGGCATACACGAGTGATGGAATCTCGGCAAAGAAAACTGTTTTGACATTTAACAACGCGCAACTGTTCCGAAACAGTTGAATGTAGATCACTGCAGCGCTGCGACCGGTATCTTGCGTAAACGTGTGAAAGATAGACACAGACACTCGATGCTTGAAAAATACCATCTACGCAGAACTGCACGAGTCTAATGGAGTTATCGTGCAAGCTGTGCTAACGTTAGGTAATCAAAATCACGCATTGACGCAACCGGCAAGGGATAGTTGCATAGGTGCTGCTGTCAGCAGCAGCCAACCATTTGGGCCGGTCCCAGCTGTCTTAGTCGGAAAATCTTACATCGATCCTATAATCCACCGCGGTGACAGTCCTGTATGGATGGGTTGATAATCTCATTGATTGCAATGGTGGAGGTTTGTACCGTTTACCTCCGTTACGAGATCTATATGTCATAGTGCAGAGGGCTGGAGTGAGGTGTTTCTGACCCGAGATATAGTTTGATCACATTACCCCGGTACAATCTGAGGTCTGGTCTGTACAGCTAAGTAAATTCTGGATTCGGAGCAGCTGTTCATGGTACGCATCCCAGGTTTCATCTTCAGTTACGGCACAACTGATCAGTTTTGTCATGCACACCAGGGTTTCTGATATTTGTCTGATTTCTATTGTCTCAATTTCATATCACACGAGACGCGTGTATACATCCGTGGAATGTGAGCATCAATCTTTGTGTAACGAAAAGCGGGGGAGAAGGTGATTTCTGTTTGTTTTCAATATCTACACTGTGTAATTGGAAATAGTTTTCATAATTTTCACTTGCATGCTGCTTGCGTTACTAACTCACATCACCCAAGTTCCTCCGGGGCCGGTAAATATCGATGCTGATTAAACATACACAACCAGTGCGGTTCGATTAGTGATGAGATGCGAAATTACTCGGAATGGAGAGAAAGAAACACCAGAGATGACCAAGGTTGATGTGACATGATATGCAAAATAAACAAAGACGACCATTTCGCGGTCCAAACGGACAGCATTTCTCCTACGGTCGAGGTCATTGTGTGCACGTTTGCTTTACGGTCGATACGCTGTGGAACGTCGAAACACAAATAACGCGTGTTGGTTGTCTACCGGATAGTCTTTAACTAGTCAGACGAATGAGATTCACTAATTCTAATCGTTGCAGCTTGGTACTGAGTTGGACATATGCAGATTTGTCCGCTAAGAACACATGATACTGTTAGTCTGACCATGCCTAAGATACATTTATTAATATGCATACGAGCAGATACGTTTTCGTGCAGCTTGTTCAACCGGCATTGGGTGAATTTAATCAATGTTGACCGATTCAAACAATCGCATCCTACTGTTCTAACTGCTTCAATTCCGCAGACAAATTGTAAAGCCCGGAAAAATAAAATTCTAACAACAAGAAAAGACTACGGGAAGGGTGGTCGAATAATACTCCACCGGATCACCAACATCGATTAAAGATAGGCATGAGTTAGTTTGAGGCTGAATAGTATTGCATTTTCGAGTTCCCGACTAACTCATCTCCAGTACTATTCAGTTTATATATATATCCAGACCATGTACCAAACAAATCATGGTACAATAATCTTTATGAAAAAGAAAGACGTTCTATGCTTTGCATGTGGGCGGAATACCGACAGGTTTCTCAGGCCACGGCAGGTGAATTTTATTGAGGAATCCACAATCGGAGCAGTCGGCTAGCCAAAGCCTGACCCGCAAGGCAGCGGGGCGGTGTGCGAAAACCGCAATCCATTGGGGACCCGGTGCCCAGTTCAGCAGATCATGCGCCCTTTGGAAGGGGTCAAACGTTCAAGGTGTTCATTCGAGCCGGTGACCACTGCTACAACCAGGAAGTTGTGTGTGGTTTGTACGCCTCTTCATGGTTGGTTTGGAATCAGGGTTTTTAGTCAACTCCCATAGTGGTTTATCAACCCGGATGTCGACTTTTCGTCCTCTCACCTTAGTGGGAAAACACCGCACGAGGAGACAGTGAGTAGGGCTTCCTCAGCAGAGGCTATTTGAGACCCTTGAACGTATGGGAGCATTTTGCGAGGTGAATGGGAACGGTAACCAGCCACAACCCTAAACCATAATGAGGCTTTTGGTGTTTTTAAATGGTATTGTACCTCTAGTATCCATGTTAATATTACGACGGGATTCCCGATGACTTGGGAAGGGGTTTACTTATCTTTTTGAGCTAGTTTCAGTCAGGTGGTTAACTAAGAAGTGTGGCTCTACAGACCGGACACATCCCCCACTGAGTGTTGTCACATCCACGCTCCAGGGTATGAAATGTTTGTCCTGTAAGCGAATTACAAACTGCGTAGTCTGTCTAGAGAGGCATCTGCGGTCCAGGTTACCGTCATTGACATCACGACGAGCGTTGCCAGATTACACCAAGGCCAACTAAATCCGAGAATTTCGTGAAATTTTAATTAAGATGCAATGAAAGTTGAGATCACGCAAAATCAACTTTAAAAGTATCGCTTCAATTCGGTTTGTAAAGCCGTGTAATGCTTTCATTCGTTTTAGAAATCATCTGTAGTACAAATCCACTGGAACTCGAGCTTGGGCATGTTAGGTCATTGATCTGTTTGGGATATCCGAACAGTTTCCGTGACATCGTGGATTTCCATTGATATATATATATATATATATATCACATTGGCTAGCAAGTGATAAAGATAATAGATACCATAAAATATTTGTCGATACCACCACTAGGATCTCATCTATTCCTGCCCCGTGAATTTCAGTGGCCAATAGCCTGGTTCAATGTAATGGTGTTTACACGACGGTTAGTATTATGGGTAAACAACTTTCGGGATCTGATAAAAACAATATAATACTTGATTACTCGCGAAAAACGCAGCGTGCCTATGCCTATGACCGAACCAATGACGCTTGTGAAAGTAATGCAAACTGTCTGTGAGTTCGCGAGTGCAGGAAGGCAACAGTGGTTAATTGAAAATTGCCGGGAAGATAATATTCCTCTTCGGGGACCACATATTACAGATGGGGCGTCCCAGATTGGCGGAGCTTGTGAGTATTCACCAACTAGAAATCACCTGCTATCGTCGTGGGATTCCCTAAGGAAAATTAAACTTCCAGATTGCAAAATACTCAGACCAACGCCAGCTGTCTCTTCACTCTCAATAAAATCACTTGTTGATGAAGACAAGTTTGCTATGTGAAGATGGAAAAGTTAGCGTATATGATTTGAGAGAAAAAATTGTCGCTTTAATTATTGCTCGACTAAGTGAGAAAAATTCGGTTACAAAAAACAAAACAACTCAGAATAAATGAAATGACCGCTGCTGTAGATAAGGCAGTCCTTGGAAAGACATGATTGGTACAGGAAAGGATTCAGGCAGTAGTGTGTGTGCGTGGGGAAGGGCTAACACAAATAAAGGCCAAAAGAATCGAAACAGCGTGGGAGTCAAAAGGCAATCAAATTCAATTTGAATTGATGTAAATATCTGTACAGATCTCACTGTCCGCGTTGTCTTCCAGGGGACAGTACGAATGATATAGATACACGAGAACCGGTGCAACGTCCGATGCGCGTATCCCATCGGCTTCGCACGCGTTAGTGTTCCGAGCACTGGGGACAGGATTTAGTACCCAGCGCCATCAAACACGCGGAATGATAGACGTGCTGACAACGGAATACGACACATTCATCGCATGCCGTGACGAATGGGTTCTGTTCCGACAAGTCGTTTCGGTTCGGTTCGTCAGGGAGAGTTTTGCCATTGGGCGGTCGAACAAAAGATTGAGCACAAACCGGACAGATGATAGTACCGGACTCAGTCGGATCCACTCGGATGCCGCGTGACTGACATTTCAACACGCGTCGAAAAAGTTGATCGCGATCGGCTCNGCTCGGAGAATTCGTTCACAGTTCCGGTGCAGTTCCAGTTGGAGCTATAATCAAGGTGAGTTATTGGAAGACTCAGTGGTCTGACTATATACACGGTGCTACTTGGACTAAGGAGCAAACGATAGTCTTGATCCAGTGAAAGTAATACCAATCGCATAACACAGATAAAAATGTTATTGCTGGGCACAAAACTATCGGCGGAATCTCCTCGTAATACGCAATTTTGTATACATCGAAAACGACGTAGTTTCACAAATTAGTTGCTATCGATCCACAGGAAATAAAGGAGAAGCGATCTAATTACGAATATGAGTTCCAGATACGTGTTCAACACTCCCAGACACTTAGTTTGTTTGCTGATATTTAGGCAGAGGAAAGATTTTTTATCGGGTATCAACTGATAGTAGTTGCATGCAAAATGTTGCGAAAACTGAATAGCCTAGATGTTGGAGCGATCGACATTGGCAAGAGATGCTGTTTCGAAAAACACGCTAGTTAGGGCGTTAACTTTGTTCTGATTTACAGAGAACGGGAAACACACGATGTGCGATCTGAGAGATTAACACGACAATGTCGAGATAAGGCAGTTCTTACTCATTATATGAATTCCATTTGATTAGTCGATTTGTTTTAACTAGAGTAAGATGAAAATTTGTCAGATTTATCCACGACTTTAAAGCGTATGTTTATGAACGAACACTTAAGTCACTTAATCACCTACTGTCTCGAGTAACTCCATTCTGGAATCGCCGAGACAGGGATTTTTCTGCCCGACCACATAGGGACAACAGGGCTGGTATTTAATCGATCGAATCATACAAATTCGGTAAAGTAGACAACTATACAGTATATCATGAAATCTGTCGTCAAACCAAGCCAATGATTGTCTTGACAACCACATCACAATGTAGGGTTCCACTAATTCATCTCCAAGAGTCTGCTTATCTTAGTACAGTGACCATAATCTACGGTAAACAGGAAGCGAAAACCGTCAGTTTGCGGACTTTGCTCTTCCACACCTGACGGTTGTAGATAAGAGATATTAGAACAGAGCTCACGGAACCCGTTAGACTGCGCATTACGCTGGCGAAGCCCAAGGCAAATCGAGTTCGGAATGGATTAATGTAGATAGCGGTTGTCCGATCGACCAATCGGAGTTTCAAGGTCGCAGTCTGAATGGTGCGTCACTATACCGGCCTTGCATGCTCAATCTATTCTTGATTTTTGCGTATCACACTATGGTCATAGAATATAGTCTATCTATCGTGCTACAGTCGTGTTCTCTCTTTGGTGTAGTTGTTGGAGCCTAAGCAAAAGGCATTCAATTTCGATCGCACGCCAAGGCCGAAAATAAGAGGAAAAAAGAAATGAGGATAATGTTCCACAATTGATCGGTTTGGGGATGACTGAAAGCTAGCTACGTAGAACCAGGGAACAGATACTTTCCAGGTAGCTGGCAGTCAAAACCTTGGACTGGGGTTTGGTGAGAACAGATAAGGCAATTTCAAAGGCAGAGAAATTAGACGAGTAGTCGCTTTTCAATCACGCAATCAAGTGGGTAATACGAAATGCATTCAACGATCATCCCTAAATACAGCTCAGTTCGGATAAGTGGAATTCGCAGACAATTTCCTTGTCATAGGGAACAATAACGAAAACACCCAACCGGTCATCAAGCGCATCCGTGACTGTATTAAAATCATCAGATTAGAGAATAACACGGTGAAAAGGAGAAAAAAACAGCGTTACGACCTTCAGCATACCTCATCCAGACTGGTAATAAACCAATAGAAAGAGCGCCAACATTCGAATATCACGACTTTTTGGTTCAACTCAACGGCTAGACCTCAAGATGAAACCACAATATCAGTTGGTGACACCAACAGAATCTCTTTGCAACTGTGTAAGATACTATGAAGGCTGCACACTAAGAAGCGAATCATTCTAGCTGCCATGCGATCTATTCCCCAATACGACTGTGAAACATGACCATTACCGCCCTGCAATAAACAGAAACTGCAAGTCTCGGAGTACTGGTGCCTACGATGCACCCGGCAGCTACAACTGCTAGAACAGGTTTCCAATGAAGAAGTTCGATGAAGATGTAACAACATCGAAAAATTGTCGTCTGTGTTGCTGCAGCACCACCGTCTGCGATGGTTTCGTCATGTTCTCCTACAACCTCCAAACGTCATGTCTAAACAATGCTCTCTGTGGATACCAGTTCTAAGTTGTCGCTGCCGCTTCAAACGACCACGGAGGACAAATAGCAATCAGTATATTTGTCCTAAGGGAATGGAACGGAGTCGATCCGCACGGACCTTGGAGCAAACAGTCACACTGAGTGAACAGAAGCGATCAGAGACGTGTCAGGTGGTTTATCTACATCCAGGAGATAGTCGCACACAAGTGAGAGTAGGCATCAAGTTAAGATTAAAAATGAACAGTGTGGTGGTTGTTTGCCTGGGGAATGCAACGGAGAGGCTGAGAGTAGTGTGGCTTACGATAATTCTATTTGGCAGAACGAGGGGAAGGAACACAACTATCCCAGGCGTGAATGCAATCAATAATTAAGAGCAGCTTTGCAAAAAAATAGGATAAGGGATGAGATAAGGAAACAATTCACGCGGAATAATCACACATATGGCACAGAAGGAAAATGCAGGACAAGAAAGAAAGATAGAAGAGGGAAACCCGAAAGGAATAATCGATTAGCGGAGTGAAGGGAGAGTTATTTTGGGCCAAAGATGAGTTAGATGCTTTCGATTTACGGGTACATTAGAGAGCAAATATATTCATCTCCTACTGAGGCTTAGAAACTTGCGGGTCGGAGGAGCTTGAAATGCTAGGGTAATTGAAACGATCGCGATTCTGTGAAACAGCTTTGGTGAAAAAGAAACAGAGGAGAACCGGCCTTCTGCCTTACGAGGAACGTGACGTCTCAGTATGAATAAGAAACAATTGTTTTGCACGAACTGTTGAAAAAATTAGGTAAATCACCGTGGTTGGTGAGTTAGCCACGAAACGATGCATATTATTCATGCAATGGTTTAGTGAGACTTATCATCAGTGTGTGTGATTTTGGTGGTCTTGCATGTGCAATCATATGGACTGAGAAGACAGTCGCAATCCAATCAATGTAACCATGGAGTTAATGTAGTGACCGTCGTAAGGTTTACGGTTTGAATCCCGGAAGGGACCAGAAAATAATCCGAACTGATGATGAGTCCCGATGGGGAAGAGATTGCTGCCCAATCGTTGTTACATCATGTCATACCATATAAAATGTATTCATACGAGGAGGGGGGGGGGGCAGTAACTAACTCTGGAACAATGAGACTCACATCAGAACAATAACAATAGGCAGACCCAGCGGTCTGAATTTGTATGGATAATACAACGTAAGTTCAAAAGAAAAAGATCACATAGCCTGAATTGTTAGATGTGTATACGACACACCTCAATCCATATTAAGCATCATTCTTCAAGAAGACAACTTGATATGATACAACCGGAGTGTACGAGCATGCGACGTGGATCCAACAGAGGAAACTACCATGTAAATACACAATGTTATCAAGTAAGTTTTAAACACGGAAATGTCTCAGTAGTTTGGGAAGTGGCGATTACTCACCTTATAATTACGCATCAATTTGACTAGAGAATCTCTCAGACCGGGAATTTTCATATCTGGAGGGATTTTTCGAAGCAACAGCCGCATATCCAGACCCTCCGTACCAGCTTGTTGCAACAGGGCACATGTAAATGCCGGTTTGTCCGCGGCATACAGGATAACCTGCTGCCATAACTCACCACCGCATTCATCGCCTTTCTCGGCCTCTTCATCATCATCATCCGTGTCCCCATTGAGGATACCGTTATCCACTTGATGTTTCCGTCTGGGTCCAGCCCCGTGCGCTCGAAACACATCTTCCTCACGACAATGAGCGATTGCAGCAGCTGCAGCCGCGGCCTGACGTTGTGCTTCGGTTGGCGGTTCTCCATTCTCCGTCACGAAAGAATCACCACCCTGCGAGAGGTAGAGGTAGCTGATAAGTACACAAAGAGGAACGGCGAGGGGGCGTGACGAGAAACGGGCACAATGAACAGAGACACTGTCACGATCTGAGAGGAGGGATTGGTTATGAATTTAGTTTGGGCAGATAACGATAAGAATGATGTGCATTGCACAGTTTGGACAAGGAAGGCTGGACATTAGTCACACATCCTATTAAAATCGGACACGCTTTTATTTACATGAACAAGGCTAATTAATCGTCGGGGGAATTTACAATTTATGAAATGTCAAACTAACCATGCTTTTGTTGGTATGCAATATCGTCGAGGCAAGGAAGTCTGATGTAGTGGGGATGAGCAAGCAATAGTGATTGGATCACCATTTTGTGCACTAGAATCTCTGACTCTCTAGGAATTGACAGTGGCAAATTGGTCATACTGTCTGAACTAGCCAATCACTGTTAGCGGTTCTCGGGAAAACCGATGAACTGGAGCTGGAAATACAACAAGTGCTGAGGGTCGATTGATGGAGGGGGTTTACCACCTGTGAGTGAATTGGGTAAACAAACAGCATGCGAATCGGAAATGCCAATTCCAGTTCCGGGGTACAGAAACTAAGGT